AACGGGGGCTTTCGGGCGAGCTCGGGCCCTGGGGCGGCGACCTCATAACGCGTGGACAGCGGCATGGGGCGGCAGAAACTGCGACCGCCAGGATGTACGCGGAGTGGGTCACATGCTTAGATGGGGTCGGCAATCATCGCATACGAGATCGCAGAAGAAGAAGCGGACCAATACCGAAGACGCGCAGGAAGCTTCGCAGTAAACTGGGCAACGGCTCGATCGGCGCCGCCAGGGGGGGGGGGGGGGCGCGCGTGAAGTTTGGGCCAGCGGGGCAGTGGGGCATCCTGAGCGCGATCCTAGTACGCTGCCGCGCCTTCTACACCAACGGTATCGATGGCAGGCAGCAGGCAAAGTGCTTAGCACGCGCGAGGGCGCAGAGCAGGGTCCTGCAGGGCATGGATAAGTCCCTGGTCTTAGGTGAGAAGTATGAAGAGGCGTCGCAGCATATGTTTTACGAGAGGCTGGGGGATATGGCCGACCTGGGCGACGGGCAGATCATGGGCCTGGCCCAGCAGGCAGAGGGTCGCCTTTCTACGGCCCAGGCAAGAGGCATCACGGCGCAGAGGAAGAGCTTTACGACATGGGCGAAGAAGGCATGGAAGGAGAAGGTCGGTCAACTCCACCGCAACGTCATGGAGCAGCAGCCTCCCAGATTCGAGTTATGCACGGAGCAGATGGAAGGCGTGGCGGACGCAGACATCATGATGAGCATCAAGAAGGGCGAGTGGGAGCGAATATGGGCGGATCCAGTTGACGCGAAAGAGGATATCGCGCTCCAGCTGGATATCATGCGCGACAAGGCCAGGGAGGGCGACATAGGCCCGCTCACCCTGGGGGGGTTGGACGGAGCGATAGCGGCGTCGTCGGCGGCGAAGGCGAAAGGGGTGGATCACCTCGGACCGAATGATGTGGCGCGCTCTCCACGGCAGGCACGAGTATGGCTACTGCAAATCTTGCGGTTCTGCGAGAAGGAGATTTCATGGCCGAGGCAATGGGCAGCTACGCAGTGTGCGCTTGCAGCAAAACCGTAAGGAGGAGATAGAGTATTCGGCATGCTGGCGCCTCCAATTAAGCTATGCTCGAGAGCGACAGGTGGATGTTGTGCACGATGGAGTGACTCGCTCTCAGCGCACTGGGGCACGGCGCTCAAAGGAAGTTCGGCGCTACGAGCAGGGCTACTTCGATCTGTGCTAGACGAGCTTGGAACTTAACTAGGAGCCTCGGCCATGGCGCTCTTCTTGGACATAGAGAGCGACGCAGTGTCACTGGTCATATTATGTCAGATAGCGGTCAAGGTTGGCTTTCCAGCAGCAGTGGCGGCGCTAGAGATTACGGCATCGGCCCCAGGTTCCTCGAGAGCGGAACATCCTCAGCGAGCCCCTATGGACAGCGCGATCGCTGGTGGCAGGCTCGGCAAGAGGAGTAGGGTTGGCCAAGTTATTCTTTCGCCCAATCTTGGATCGAGCCCATCGCAGAGTACCGCAAGCTTCATCGTGGGCATTCGTGGACGATACAGTGGCGCGCCAAGAAGGAAGCAGACAAACGGTAGGCGATGGCATCGGGCACGTGACTCAGATTATCACGGACGGCCTCAAGGATCAGATGATGACGATCTCGAGCAAATCGGTCCTTATCGGCACGCGCCCCAAAGATGTGCAGAAGGTGGCGAAGGCGATGCGGAGGCAGCGAATGCCTGTGCAAGCGGTCGCGGAGGCGGTCGACCTGGACCTGGACACGGCAGCGGGGAGAAAGAGAGTCACGGCGAAGGCTCAGCAGAGAAGTAAGAGAGCCAACCGCCGGTTTGCGAAGATCGTCAGACTGCGCCGGGTTGCGCCCCTGGCTGGAGAAAGCAAAGGATTATGGAGCGCAGGGGCGGTACCACAAGCGGTATATGGACACCAAGCGTTCGGACTGGCACTGCGCTGGCTTCAACGACTCCGCAGAGAAGCAGGGCAAGTTGCAGGTGGTAAGATGTGGATTGGCGACCCTGGAATTGCAGCACGCGTGGCAGTGATTAAGGAGTGGGTCAACATGTGGCAGCGATTCCCAAAGACGCGCCCCAGGGTCGTCACAGCGCGGCCGCTGATCCGCGCGAGACTGGTCAAGCTGGGGCCGAAAAGGTGGCGTGGAGTGCGGGGGCCAGTGGGGGCAGTGCATGCGGCGCTCGTGGACGTGGGTTGGTATGCTCCAAAGGCAACTATGTGGTCTCGGCCAGTCGGCGAAGATGATGACCTAGCAGAACAATGGGATCTACCGACGGCTTTTGACGGCAGCTTCGAGCAGGCATGGTGCTTCCAGCAGTTAGTGGGCGACTTCGGGCGCGACGTAAGAGGGCAAATTTGGCGATCGGCAGCAGCGCGCCCAAGTGGGGAAGGACTGGAAGCAGGAGCGGATGCATGGCAAACTCGGGCGGAGCAGCGCCGCCTCGAGAAGACGGGCCACCTAGACATGATCGGCTTGAATATCACGGTGGTCTCAGGCGGGCAGTGGCGCGAGACTC